GGCGGGGCCGGGCGGGGAGCGGCGCGCGCCTGTGACCTCACCCGCCGCGCCGGGCGGGGCCACGGGGCGGGCGAGGGGCGGGGCCTGCGTGGTGATGTCATCGGGGCGGGGCCTGCGTGTGGCGGCGGCTGGGGCCGGGCGGGCGGAGGCGCTTCAGGAGCCGCCGAATCTTGACAAATCACCGATTCCTCAGGAATGGAGGAGAGCTTTAAAAGGGCAGCGAGGCTGGGGAGGGGTTTGGAGCGGCTGAGGGAGCTCAGCCTGGAGCAAAGGAGACTCGGGGGACATCTTACCTGTCTGTGAGGAGGGTGCAGCCAGGTGAGGGTCGGGCTCGGCTCGCCCCAGGGAACAAGGGACAGGACACAGCCCTGAGCTGTGCCAGGCGAGGTTCAGGTTGGACACTGGGGAGAAATTCTCCACAGGTTGGGCATTCGAAGGGGCTGCCCGGGGAGATGTCGCCGGCCCTGGAGGTGTTGAAGAGAAGACTGGATGTGGCATGCAGTGCCGCGGTCTGGTTGACAAGGTGGTGTTGGGTCAGGTTGGGCTGGGTGAACTCAAAGGTCTTCTCCAACCTATTTGATTCTGTGGTTCTGTCACCCTGTAAAGCACATTACACAGTGCTGGGCACAGATGCCTCTTAAACAGCTCCAGTGTGGTGATTCCACCACCCACTGGGCAACCCCTTTAATCCCTGACCACACAAACAGTAAAAAAAAAAAAATCAAATATTTAATCTGAATCTCTATCTCAGCTTAAGGCCGTTTTCTTTGGTCTTCTCTCTACAGGCACAGCAGAAAAGCCCCATCCCCACCTCACTACTGCTCCTGTCAGAGGTTTTTAGAGAGCTGTGAGGTCACCCCTGAGCCTCCTCGAGACTAAACAAGCCCAGCCTCATAGGACATGTTTTCTAGCCCCTTTACAAGCCTTGCTCCTCTTCTCTGGACACACTCCAGCCCCTCAATGTCCTTTTCAAAGTGAGTGGCCCAAAACTGAACACAGCAGTGCCAAGAACAGAGGCACACTCACTTCCCTGGTGCTGCTGGCTGTGCTATTCCTGCTACAGGCCAAGATACCCCAGGCCACCAGAGTGAATATCAAAGCCCTGTGCCACTGGTGGAGGCTCTGACAGCAGAAGGTTTGTCCCTTTACTGTGGGACCAGGGTGGGGAGCTCTGGCTGGGTTGTGGGGTTGGGGTGTCCTGTAGGCAGCTCCCTCTGTGAATGGCAGATGTGAGGCAGTGCAGTCTGACAGCTCCCAGGGAATTTGTTTATCACACCCATGGAGGCAAAAATAGAGCCAGTGATTCACTGGGGGATGACTGAAGGAGTTAGAAGCTGAGCTCCTGGATTTTGGGACTCTGCAGCTCTATGTTTGCTGCTGTCTGGCAGCAAAAAGGCCTTTCTAATAAGGTCTCCAGATAATATCAGAAATCCTGTTTTCTTAACAATAATACAGCTCAGAAGGCATCTTGCACTTGCTGAGAAAGACTGATTTTTCTAAGATTTGGAACAGGGAGTTCCCTTCTGGGTCATGTGTTCTGTCACTGGAACAATGGGAGCTGTTACAGACATTTACAGTAAACTTGAAAATACCTATTGAGATTGAAAATTTTTTGAGTTGTTTCACATCCCTCATTTTATCGTGGGGTTATTTAGGTTGGGAAGAACCTTTAAGACCATCAAGTCCATCCATTAACACAGCACTGCCAACCATGTCCCCACACTAAACCATGCCCCCAAGTGCCACATCTGCAGATCTTTCAGATGCCCCAAGAGATGGTAACTCCATCATTGCTCTGGGCAGCCTCTGCCAGGGCTTGGCAGTGCTTTCAGTGAAGAATTTTTTCCTAGTATTCACTCTAAACCTCCTCAGGTGCAACTTCTATCATTGGGGAAATCAGTATTTTTCATTAGGTAATATCACGTGTACAGGAACCCGGTGGCCCAGCAGCAGTCCAGGAGCAAAGAAATGAAAATGTGCTTTAAAAAAGGCAGAAAGCTTGAGAAGGGATGGAATTTTAACTGTGGTGATTGCATTCAGCTCCACTGGAGAGCAGCAGAGCCTTGCACTTAATTTCTTCTCATTTGGGCTGGTTCTAAGGCAGGAGCTATGCTTTAAAGGCATGTGCTGCCTTGGCTCCTCATCCACTGAGCCAGTGAGTCTGCGTAGGAATGACAAAGAGGAAAAGATTCCAGCCCTTTATATTGGATTTATTGTGAGTCCTGTTTAGACATTGTCATCCTCCTAATATTTAAAGTTGCACACTAGGGCACAGGCAGTTGAAATATAATTTATAAACATGGCAAAAGGAAAAAAAAGCTGTTAGAATTTTGATTATTACCAAAAAATTGCATCATTCCAGCTAAAAAATAATTTTTAAAAGATGTGATGTGTACTGTCATACATATTTGCAAGTGGAATTTTCATTTAAATTATTGGAAATTATCTCTATGAAGGATTTTTTTTCCTGTTTCTCTTTAGCAGTTACACACTGCCCTAGTTTGAAAGACAGGTGTCCTCAAAGGAAGGCAGGAAGCTCCCTTGGAATGGAAAATGTGACCCCCTTCCCTTTGAATTATTATAACTTTCAAATTAAGGGGCTTTCAGGCAAAGATACGGGAAAAGGAGTAACAGTTCTTTACTATGTATGTGTATATGTGTGTAGCCATGATATTTTATGAAAAATCCTTTGCTAGGATTTTTCCCTCCTGAGGAGCTGAGGGCCTCAGGAAAGAAATGTAGACAATAACCATCTGCTGCTGCTCTGGGCTCCCAAGCAGCAGAAAAGCAAGCTCCAGTCACAGTGCAAAGGGAAAGAAAAAAACAAGCAAAAGCCACATGGCAACAGTGTCTCTCATCAGAGGGATCACACTGCATGGCCACTGAGATGAAATCACCCCACCAGGAGAATGCAACCATCCCTGGCCCACAACTCTGGCAGGAAATCCTGGGCTGGCTCTCACCCATCACCGTACACTCAGAGCCAGGGAAGGGGGAGAGGGGCGGCATAAAACAAAAATGGATATGGGATAAAAAGCCAATCCCCCAGACATTCCACCCCTTATCCCATACCATATGATCAATGCCTAAATTAATGCATTTCAATCTATAACTCCATACCTATGTGCCTTACCCTAATTATATACATACATACCTACATCTACATCTAGATACAGGCACAGTGTGATGGGTGATTTACCCCAAAACAATGTCCCCTTGAGGTATGCATCATGTCTCTCCATCCTTCTGTATCACCAGCAGCTACAACCTTGTCTTTGAGCACAGATAACCCCACAGACTGGGTTTGTCTTTGCTCAAGGCAGAATTAATCCAAACAGTTTTTCCCAGCATACCTCTCATGTGTGCATGAGATACATGTACACATGAGAGGTATATCCCATGTGTGCATGCTGGGAAATAGGGAAAAGGTATCCACTGGAGCTTTATGTCCATCTGTTGTTTGCAAGGGTTCAGATTGGGCAGGGCCTGCCCGGCTAGTGGAGCCTCTGGTATTAGCTAACCATGTGGCCTTTGCTAAATGCATCTCCCAGTTTTTGAAAGTCCCCCTGCTCAGTGCCTTCAAGGTGGTTTTAAGCAGTCTGGTGCACTGATCAACTTTCCCAGCAGCTGGTGCATGCTGAGGAATTGGTACACCCACTCAGTGCCATGTTCCCTGGCCCAGGCTGTTCTTGAAATGACTCCCATTGTCAGACTCAATCTTCTCAGGGGTACCATGCCCCCACAGGACTTGCTTTTAAGGCCCAGGATGGTGTTCCAAGCAGTAGCGTGAGGCACAGGGGAGGTTTCCAACCATCCAGTCCTGGCCTCTACCATTGTGAGCAGGTAGCACTTGCCTTGGCATGCCTGGGGCAGTGTGATGCAGTCAGTCTGCCAGGCCTCCCTGTCCTTGTACTTGGACCACTGCCCACCATACCACAGGGGCTTCACTGGCCTGTTTGATCACAGCACTCATCTCACACTCACTGATAACCTGGGAGATGCTGTCCATGGTTTTGTGCCCACTTACAGGTGGCATCTCTGCCCTGATGGCAGTTTTGATGAGAACCCCAAATGTTCTGGGTGGTACAGACAGAGGCTGTGAGCTGAGACCAGTGTAAAGCTGGGGCCAAACCAGCAAAGCTGGAGCTGTGTTAAATTCTCCTGAAGTCTGGAGACATTCACAGTCAGTCCTTTGTCTCAGGCCTGTTTTAAAAATCTCTGCTGGTTTTAAGTAATGTGGAAATGGTTTGAGGTCAACTATTACACTTAGTTCACTCACTGAGAACTTTGGAGGTGTTTACTTCTCTCCCATGATCAGTCCATTTTTTGGAAATTATTTGTCTAGCCTCTCTACTTCTTCACATTTTAGATAAACATGTAATTTCCAATGTAATTAGGTGATCTTGGTAAAATTTCCAACCAGCAAAAGCTCATTTATACAGGAACCATTTGCTCTGCTAATCATGGATTAGTCTCAAAAGTGGCAGAGTTGACCCTTATTTAATGAGGTTAAAAGACTTGGCACAGATCACAGAACAGACCTATGGTAAAGCTGGAAGTCATGCTTGCCCACCTTAGGGCAAGTCCTAAGCTTTAATCATTAAATGATGTAGATTTAACAAGACTGTAAATAGATGTCCTATTGCTGCTTTAAACTTGATATTTTTATAAACATCCCATTTCTAGAGACCTTTCTTCTATTTTTATGTATTATTTTGCCATAGTGAAGAGCATTAGGGTTTAAGTAGTATGAAACATCTTAAATAAATCTGTATCAAAGCAAGAGAATAAATTGGATTGGTTTTGTCAGGAGACTACTCAGAAACTCTAATTTCAAAATAACCTCAAGGAGGACTTGCTAGGATGTATGACACTGATGTTTTAAATATCATCTGTTCAATCAGAGCTCTTGGAAAGTGTGATGGAATGCAAGAAAGCAGGCTGGTTGAATAGATGCTTAGGTCACATCTGGAGACCCCCAGCAGAACTAAAAGTACCACATGGGTGTGTGATGGACTGTAGTGAAGAGAAGGGATCCCAAGTAAGGAAATCCATGTTATCAAAAAGCTGAACTTTTCCCTGTCAAGCAGTGAAGTCCTGCCTAGAGGGAAGAAAAATCTTCATTGTTTTGCTTTCAAGAACAGCCAAGCGGAGCCCAGGAAATTAATTTCAGTTTGGAAGCAAAAACAGGACAAGCATGGATTTCCATCCAGATGCTTTATCCTCAATTCTCTTAAAGGCAATAAAATGCTCAAGGAAAGCAACTCAGTGTAAATGGTTGAACGGTCTTTTGACTCAAAGAGCTAATATAATATAATATAATATAACAAGAAAAAAACCCCAAAATTAATTACCTTCTTTAAAGAGGAAACATAAGCAGAACAGTATGATAACGAGATTTTTGTTAAAATAACTTTAAGTTATTAAAAGTTATTATTTTAAAATAATAATTAAATTAATAATTGTCATAATTTAAATAATTTAAATTATTTTTATTAAAATAATTTTAATAAAATATTTAAAATATTAAATTATGTGCCTTTTGTTAAATAAAAGCCTGGATGCAGCAGGCAAGACTGAAAGGCTGGAAGGGCCGAGCCCGGCACCCCCGCTCTGAGGGAAGAGGCCTTGGGTGGATCCCGAACCCCCGGGATGGGGCTGGGGCGGCAGCGGCGCTCTGCACGGGCGGGACCGCGCTGCGCGGGGGCGGGGGATGGAGCACGGCTAATCCGGGTGGGAACCCGCGGTGACACGTCTTGACAGAGCCAGGCGCGGGTCACGGGCTGCCAGAGCCGCCGGGGAAACAGCAGGGACACGGCGTGAGAGACACCCGGGGGGCAGCGGAGTACCCGGGCCGCGACACGCACTGAGGCCACCAGCGGGGGACAGCGTTTGCCACAGCCACAGGGCCACCAGCGGGGGACAAGGCTTCAAGGTTTGCCAGAGCCACCGGGCCACCAGAGGTTAGCCGGGTTGCGGGGCAGCGGGAAGGGTGCCCCTGTTCCCGGGCAGTGTCACCGCAAGCCCCGCGGAGCCTCCCCGAGCTCCTGCATCCCTCACCTGCCCGCTCAGGTGTGCTCCAGCGCGGGGCTCAGAGCCCCTGTGGTCCTGCTGGTTTCCAGGTGAAAACTCTGTGTGGGTACTGATTTATTAATTTATTGCACGGCGCTGGAAGATGGATCTGTGGTGATCATTACCTTCCTTTCCGTTCAGAGTTTTTCTGATTTCAGTATTCGCTGATTGTTCCTACACTTGGCACCCTTCCACTGCTTGAAACTCACTCCTGCAGCATTTGGAAAAACCTGTGTGCTGTCACCAGTTTGTCCAAACACTGGAGACCGTGGATTACTGACCCTCAGATGCAGCAGATCTAATGACACTTCTAGCAGACGGGGCTGGAATGGGCTGGGGTCGCACAGTCCTGGAATAACAAATTTTATTCCCTGCCTCCTCAGGATCATGGCTGCCATCGAGGAGCGCACCTTCATTGCCATCAAGCCTGACGGGGTCCAGAGGGGGCTGGTGGGGGAGATCATCACACGCTTTGAGAAGAAAGGATTCAAACTGGTAGCCATGAAATTAATACATGTAAGCTCTCCTCAATTGTTGTGTCTACTTTTTCATATCAGTTGTAGTCTTCAAGTACAGCAGCATACTATAACAACAAATGTGGCCTCTGTAACATTTAAAACTGAAATTTTGAGAAGTCGGGGATGTTTTGGGATGTTTTTGGAAAAGTTCCAATTCCCAGCTCTGGCTAAATGCTTTAGACGTGCTAAGCACACTAATTTTAGTAACCTGATGCCCTTAGTCTGAAGAGAATATTCTTTCAGGTGGCAAATAAATATCTTTGAGAATCTTTTACAAATCCCAGGTCACATAAACTGCCTGTATTGACAACAAAAACTTTTCTAAGTTTAGTTGTGGTTAAAGCAAACAGTTCAAATTCATATTGACCAAAAGTACTCCTAGGAAGGTGCTAGAAATACTGAATTTTACAGTGCGTGCAAGTTTCAGGATTACCAGTGCTCTGTGCTTTATCTCTGTGATTTCACTGCGCTCTTAAGCTCTTACTGTAAGCTTTTTTCTCTGTCTGTCTGGTTTTTAACCCAGGCTTCTGAGGACCTCCTGAGGGAACACTACATTGACCTCAAGGACCGGCCGTTCTACGATGGCCTGGTGCAGTACATGCACTCGGGACCTGTTGTAGCCATGGTGAGTTCCTGGCAAGGAAAACCACACTGCTTGATTGTCTCCCCTGCAATGAGATTGTGTCACCTGTTGAATTCCAGTTTATTTTTTAAAGGATTTTAAAATCTGGATTCAAATACTGTGATTAGGAAGATGTGCTATTAACTATTTTTGTTTAATCTTTTCTCGCAATCTTTCTCTCCTTTTAAGTCAGTTTTTTGAGGAAGAGGGTAGGGGCAAAAAGGAATCACAACCAGGACCTTGAGAAACAGTAAAACTGCACAAAAGCCCCACTCTGAAATACCATGTAGTAGGCAAGCTGAAAAAGGATGGTGGAACATTTTAACTTTAGTTCTCTTTTTCTCCTTGATATTGTATTAGTAAAATATTAGTAAAAAAAATATTAGTAAAAAAAAAAGTTGAGGCCTAGCTCTCCCATGAGCAAACAACTCTGTGAGACTGTTTGACATACTGAGATGGAAAATTGTTCTCTCCCCACCCTGGGTGAGGAGAGGGATTGTACAGAAGGGGACCACGTGAGCAGATGCTTCAAGAATCTGACAGAAGAATTGGAAATAAATTTGTCTCACTGTGACAAATATTCAGATGGTGATTTGTACAATGATGGACAGCCCTGTGTTTTCATGGATGATATAATTTATCTGCTGCTAAAATTTAATAATCTGAATGGATTTTTTTTTTTCCTTTAAGGTGTGGGAAGGTCTTAATGTGATTAAGACTGGAAGAGTGATGCTGGGGGAAACCAATCCATTCGATTCCAAGCCCGGCACTATTAGTAAAAAAAATATTAGTAAAAAAAAAAGTTGAGGCCTAGCTCTCCCATGAGCAAACAACTCTGTGAGACTGTTTGACATACTGAGATGGAAAATTGTTCTCTCCCCACCCTGGGTGAGGAGAGGGATTGTACAGAAGGGGACCACGTGAGCAGATGCTTCAAGAATCTGACAGAAGAATTGGAAATAAATTTGTCTCACTGTGACAAATATTCAGATGGTGATTTGTACAATGATGGACAGCCCTGTGTTTTCATGGATGATATAATTTATCTGCTGCTAAAATTTAATAATCTGAATGGATTTTTTTTTTTCCTTTAAGGTGTGGGAAGGTCTTAATGTGATTAAGACTGGAAGAGTGATGCTGGGGGAAACCAATCCATTCGATTCCAAGCCCGGCACTATTCGTGGGGACTTCTGTGTCCAAGTTGGAAAGTAAATTTTAAAACATTTGATATTATCCAAAAGCACTAAATGCCAAGTGTTTTGTCATGATATCTGCAGGAACTGTGCTCCATCCTCCTCTGTTTTACACATGGAGCTGCCATTCCCTGTGCCCATGACATATTAGTATCTAAGGATAGGGATCAAGTCATGGTTGTCCCCCTTGACAAAAATGAGGAGCAAAGCTGGCACTGCCTATGCTGTGTCTTTTCCTACTTTACTGCTACTTAAAGCTTCTGTCCATAGTGGGAATCACTTCAAAACAAGAAGCTTACTTTACTTTAAGAATTCCTTTTTCTTTTATTCACCTTTTCTTTTCCTAGGAACATCATTCATGGTAGTGATTCTGTGGAAAGTGCTGAGACAGAGATCAATTTATGGTTCACTCCTGAAGAACTGGTCGATTACAGAAGCTGTGCTCATGAGTGGATCTATGATTAACACCCAGCCTGGATCTTCTGATATTCCCATGTCCATGAGCAGCTGCCAGCCTCTAGCTATTCCAAAGAATTCCCTGGTAGAAACCTCAGAAAACAGTGAAATTGCTCTGTTGTGGATTTTAGAGTCAGTGCTTGCTGCTCCTTTGATTTAAAAGTCGTCAAGTTATAGATGGAATTGCACATTTTAAAAGCTGCTTCTGGGATTGAGAGATATGACATGAAAACACAGAATAGATAACATATATTTTTCCGAAGCATTTTATAGTCATAGAGGGTATTTTGGTAAACATTTAAAAAATGGGTAAAAATTTATTTGGTAAATAAATACGCAAATGGCTCAGAGTCAGAGGTTAACTTTGCTAAAACATTAGAGGACAACTGATGGTGTGTAAATGCATAGATAATATGCCCAAATGTTGAGGATTTACTTAATATTTTAAGTCAAGTGTTTCCCCATTCCTAAAATGGCTGCAGAAAAAAGCCCATTTCTCTCCCCAGAGCATGCTGTGCCCATAAAGAGCTTAAATGACAACTGACTTCCACACTGACACTGTTTCAACTCGCTCTTTTTTCCTTCCACATGGGATTTATGTAGTATTTTAAGGACCGATTAACCAGCCTGGCTTGATGAAATGTCCTTTTATGTGAAAAGAAGATTAATGTGAGGATGGATGAGGGAGATTCTACCTTTAGCCACAGAGTGCAGCACCTCTCTGCCATTGCACAGAGCAGTAAGTGGTGTTTGCTTTGACATCTCAACAGCTGGTAATTTAGCTGGTACTCATTAGTGTACTTTCCTCATTAGCTGGAACTACAAAGCAAATGGTCCCTGGATAAGTTGTTTTAGAAGCAACTTTATCACTATCATTTTCTATTTATTTAATGATGTCAAGAAGTAGAGTCATAATAATGCAGAAGGTGTTTCAGTTTCAACAGCAAAAGTTGTACTGGATGAGGAAGTTGGGATTGATATTATGTATTTATTTCCCTGCAACATTTTATTCACTAAGAGCAAGAGTTTCATGGAATCAGTTGCTCAAGCCCAATGATTTTTTCCCCCCACAGTGAGTTCTTGCATGTGAATACTGAACTATGCAGTGAATGTTGAAGGCTTATGATACCTTATGGTGATATCGAGCTCCTAAAAAGAGATGGCATGAAATAAAACAATATTTCATGTTTCTTAAGTGAAATAAAATGAAATTTTAAATATTTTGTCTTATATTTAATTAATGACTATAAGGAGGTGGAACAAATTCTCTTAACTATGAAGTTGTAGATGAGGCTGTGAGCCTCTCTTCTGAAAATATTCAGTGTTATAGAAGATAAATCATTAGGTTAAAAGAAGTTGGAGGAAAGGGAAAATGTGACAAACTTGAGCATGAGATGGATGGTCTCCAGTTTAATCTTTTGCTTGAAAGGTTACTTGAGAAATGTAAATTCTACAAAATAGAGAAACATGCTATATCTGGAGGTGTTTGGGTTGTCAGGAAGCTGCTGATTAGTGTTTCTAATGTGATGTGACTGGGAAGAGGAGGCCAGCAATCCTGCATGGCTGAGGTGCCTGAGCAGGTCCAGTGTCAAACCACTAACTGACCCTGTGGAGACACCAACTGGCCCCTCAAAAAGAGACACTGCAAGGACTGCAGAGGTTATTTCATTGATATCCCAGCTGCAGTGATGGTGTGCGATAATAATATAATTTAATATAATAAATATAACATAACATAACATTATATATATATATATAATTTGCTCAGGCAAAGGTGCTCTATCAACTAGGAAAGGGCCAAGTGGTAAATATCATAAAAAGTAACCACACACTCCCCCTGCTTCACGTTGTGGCACGAGTTCAGGGACTGTGAGGTTTTGACACTTGGCGGCTTCATCTTCCCAATAAAATTATCAATAATTTGATTGTGGGACCCGTAACCTGTGTTATGGGTGCCACATCCCTTTTTTGTGATAAATACGCTTTCGAAGAGTCGTAGCCGTGCTGTGCAGTGCAGGACCAACCCTCAGGCCGCGGGTTGAAAGCAGCCAACCTAGCAAAAAATTAGTGAAAAATTATTTAGTTGTGTCAAACACCCGCCGTCATTTCAGCGCCTCAAAGGCTTAAGGCACAGTTGCTGCGTCTGTAAATCACCCCGGAGGCGACAGGTGCGGCCGGGCCCGGCCGGGAGCCAGCTCCTCGGCCCGGGCCCGGTGGCGGCCGCGCTGCGCTCGGGTCCCGCCCGGCCTCAGCCCGG